GGATTGGCAAGATTTCGTTGGTATTGTCTGTTTGCTGGTCATCAACTCTACAATCAGTTTCATTGAAGAAAACAATGCTGGTAATGCAGCAGCTGCTCTTATGGCTGGTCTTGCCCCCAAAACGAAGGTAATTATAGAACATTTTCTTTGAAATAAATACGGTTAAATGTGTCGGATTTGGATCTTCGGAATAAGTTCCACTAGTTGGTAATGATTAGGATTCTAGGAGTTAATATTTGTTTTTGTTTTGAATATGATGAAATTGAAGTTGAATTTATATGGCTTTGAAATGAAGGTGCTAAGGGATGACAAATGGAGTGAGCAAGAAGCATCAATTCTGGTTCCAGGAGACATCATTAGCATTAAATTGGGAGATATCATCCCGGCCGATGCCCGTCTTCTTGAAGGTGATCCGTTAAAGGTTGATCAATCTGCCTTAACTGGAGAATCACTTCCTGTGACAAAGAATCCTGGGGATGAAGTCTTCTCGGGTTCAACTTGCAAACAGGGTGAAATTGAAGCTGTTGTTATCGCTACTGGTGTGCATACTTTCTTTGGGAAGGCTGCACATCTTGTGGACAGCACAAACCAAGTAGGCCACTTTCAAAAGGTGCTCACTGCTATTGGAAACTTCTGTATTTGTTCAATTGCTGTTGGTATGTTGGTCGAGATCATAGTCATGTATCCAATTCAACACCGCAAGTACAGGGATGGAATTGACAATCTCTTGGTTCTCTTGATTGGTGGTATTCCAATTGCTATGCCGACTGTTTTGTCAGTGACCATGGCCATAGGATCCCATAGACTGTCTCAGCAGGGTGCCATAACCAAGCGTATGACTGCCATTGAAGAAATGGCTGGTATGGATGTCCTTTGTAGTGATAAGACTGGAACATTGACACTAAACAAGCTGAGTGTCGATAAAAACTTGATCGAGGTGTTTGTAAAGGATGCTGATAAGGAGCATGTCATGTTGCTTGCTGCTAGGGCCTCTAGAACTGAAAATCAAGATGCCATTGATGCTGCCATTGTCGGAATGCTTGCTGACCCTAAAGAGGTACGTGACAGTTTCTTCTCTATTTTGATTCTATAACCGTGTGGAATTATTTATGTTTGATTTTTTGTACGTGCAGGCAAGAGCTGGTATTACAGAGGTGCATTTCTTGCCTTTCAATCCTGTGGATAAGAGAACTGCTTTAACTTACATCGATTCCAATGGCAACTGGCATCGAGCCAGCAAAGGTGCTCCCGAGCAGGTAATCTTGTTTTCCGTCGGTATAAACATTGCATTAATACTTTACTTAGTTTCCGTGTCATTTAATCGTATTGCATATGCCAACAGATCTTGGCCCTTTGCAACGCAAAAGAAGATTTCAAAAGGAAGGTTCATTTTATCATTGACAAGTTTGCCGAGCGTGGGCTTCGTTCATTAGGCGTTTCCAGACAGGTTTATTATCCAAAAATCACGTTGTTCTAATAACTATTTATCCTGTTTCAATATTGAAAAGTCCCCTTGGCAATTTTCCTAAACTTTCCAGCAAGTACCGGAAAAAATGAAAGAAGGTGCAGGTACTCCATGGCAATTTGTTGGATTGTTGTCTCTGTTTGATCCTCCAAGGCATGACAGTGCTGAAACCATTCGGCAAGCTCTTCATCTCGGTGTGAATGTCAAGATGATAACTGGTAAACTGAATCCTTTAAAGGGGTTCATGAAATGTTCATTGCGGCAATTTTGTACTTATGTTTTCGTTCTTCTGTCCAGGTGATCAACTCGCAATTGCAAAGGAGACTGGCCGCAGACTTGGAATGGGAACCAACATGTATCCATCTGCTTCTTTGCTAGGTCAAGACAAGGATGCAAACATAGCTTCTCTTCCTGTGGAAGAGTTGATCGAGAAGGCCGATGGGTTTGCCGGTGTTTTTCCAGGTAACTGGCCTCGGCATCCTGGCTACTTGTTCCGAGACCTCCTCTTTTGTGTTTCGGTGTCTCGATTAGAGTTACACTTTCTTACTATACTACCCTTGCAGAGCACAAATATGAAATTGTGAAGAAGTTGCAGGAGAGGAAGCACATTTGTGGAATGACAGGAGATGGTGTCAACGATGCTCCTGCTTTAAAGAAGGCAGATATCGGGATTGCTGTAGCGGATGCTACCGATGCTGCACGAAGTGCTTCCGACATTGTTCTCACAGAACCCGGGCTGAGTGTTATTGTTAGTGCTGTGTTAACTAGCAGAGCTATTTTCCAGAGGATGAAGAACTATACTGTAAATTGATCTCTTCTCTCTAAAACTTCTGAAGATTTATACATTATAATTTGCAATGCATGACGCTTTTGTATCTTTTATTTTTTTATTTTTACAGATCTATGCAGTTTCTATCACAATCCGTATTGTGGTTGGTACATGATCAAAAGATTTTATACGAATTGATTATAGATTACATTAGCCTACTTTTATCGATTTGTTTATCCGATCTTTTGTTTCTGATTTTGTAGTTTGGATTTCTGTTTATTGCTCTCATCTGGAAGTTTGATTTTTCACCATTCATGGTTCTGATCATTGCCATTCTAAACGACGGTAAGTGGATTTATTACATAAGTTGCACATGATTCTTCTGTTTGTTCCATGCTTTATCGGCTCGAATCTAGTATTGACAATGATTGAATCGAATATTTCTCCAGGAACTATCATGACGATCTCGAAGGACCGAGTCAAGCCATCTCCCTTGCCTGATAGCTGGAAACTGAGAGAAATTTTCGCTACCGGAATCGTGCTTGGAGGCTACTTGGCATTGATGACTGTCATATTCTTCTGGGTTATGCATGATACTGATTTCTTCTCGGTACGCAGTTCTGAAAGGATTTCAAGTTCATATTCGATTTGAATTTTGTCTTGTAACAGTTTGTATCGATGCATGCAGGACACATTCGGTGTTAGGTCTCTGAGGGGCTCGGAGCATGAGATGATGGGCGCTTTATACTTGCAAGTAAGCATTGTGAGCCAGGCTTTGATCTTTGTGACCCGATCACGTAGCTGGTCATTCGTCGAGCGACCCGGGATGCTATTGGTCTCTGCCTTCCTTATTGCACAGCTAGTAAGTACATATACCTTTACCCCGAACACTCGTTTTCGAGTCGTAAAACATCGAATTAACAGTTTCTGTGTCGATTAGGTTGCAACATTCATTGCCGTATATGCTAACTGGGAATTCGCAAGGATTAAAGGAATCGGTTGGGGATGGGCTGGTGTCATATGGCTTTACAGTGTAGTTTTCTACATTCCATTGGATATAATGAAGTTTGCTATCCGATACATCTTAAGTGGAAAAGCTTGGCTCAACCTGCTCGAAAACAAGGTACACACACATATCTCGGTTTATGCACATCGATGATTTGTTCTCGTGTTTACTAATCCGGCCTCTGCTACAGACTGCTTTCACCACGAAGAAAGATTACGGCAAAGAAGAAAGGGAGGCTCAATGGGCACTTGCTCAAAGAACACTGCATGGACTTCAACCTCCGGACACGTCGAATCTGTTCAATGAGAAGAACAGCTATCGTGAGTTATCGGAGATCGCGGAGCAGGCCAAGAGACGAGCCGAGGTTGCTAGGTAAACGATAAGTCATTAAATTGTCACGCCTAATATTCACACTATCATGACAAGCAATGACGATTACGAATTCCTGACGTCTGTTTTACAGGCTTCGAGAGCTACACACACTCAAAGGGCATGTCGAGTCAGTGGTGAAGCTGAAGGGGCTCGACATCGATACAATCCAGCAGCATTACACGGTTTAGGAAACCGTTACCAGTTACAGGAAAAACCGAAGGCCGGTGATTCAATGACATTTACAGAAGATGGTGAAGGGACAAGGGAGGATGTAATTTAGTTGTTACCGAAACAGTCTAAGCATGTCTGTGGTTAAATATTAGGCCCCAAGGATATTTGAATATTTGCACTTTTTAATATTTGAATTCGAATGTCTGGTTTTTAAAAATCGGTTAAAATTTACTTATAAATCTTTTATTTCATTTTCATTTTTCTTAAAATTGCATGTTCAAATTACAAGAATTAATACAAACTCCATCCTTTTACGGTTTAGTTTAGGGATGGGCATGGGTTGGGTCGGGTTGGATTTTCGATCCACTCGATCCGACATGAAAATTTTAAATATTTTACCCGATTTGGACTCGATTCGAAAAATATATCCTTTCCACTTGATCCGAACCCGACCTATTTTTTGAGATAAAATTTGAACCTGAGTCAAATTAAAATAATTATTTATTAAAAAGTATTATTTTTATTCAATAAAAAAAGAAATTTAATTGAAAGAAAATAATATATAGAGATGTATTGGTGTAATTATTCGTAAATATATAAAGTAAAATTATATTTTTTAGGTCAGGTCGGATAAGATTATTATATTATTGTAATTATTCGTAAATATATAAAGTAATTATTGTAATTTGCGTTTAAAGTTTAAGAATATAATTTTTTTGTTTAAAATTTAAAGTTTCTTAATAGCTTAAAATTGGAGATCTTTGAATTTCATTTATTTTATATATAAAAAATAATATATGTTCTGAATACTCTCAACCATTTGATAACGAATGTTCGATCACTCTTGTAATCATTGATATTTAAACTCGTAATTTTTAAAGATAATAATAATTTTTTTAATCACTTTTGGTAAGTTATTTCATGTATTTTAAGAAACGGTGCTTATATGAAGTGTGTATTCTTTAACTTTATGTAGTATTATATTTTTAAATAAACTTATTTTAATGTTATTTACTTGAATAATAAAAAAATATTATTTGTATAAATTAGCCACGTTTTGATAATTTAAAATTAGATAAAATTAGGCGATTTCAGATAAATATAGAATTTTGACACGTACAGCCACAAAAATTCGAACACGTGGCAATCTCGATATCAAAGAATGAACAAAAATCTAAGCAACACTCGCTTCATCCAAAAAGGTAAGCTTCGAGAAGTTACAAAAATCAAGTGATTATATTTCCCAGAATTCACCAGAAACTGAACCCCAGAATTTTCTCGGCAACCAACCAAACATGTCCTTAGCATCATCGTCTCCATATTCGCATCAAACCTTCCTTACCAACGCTTTCACGTTCACTCACAAACCCAGAACTAAGCTTCCCAGCTCACCTGCTTTCGTCTCCTGCAGATTCCACTCCGATGACCACAAAGATTCCCCCTGGTACCACTTCGTTTCCATGGCCTCTAACTCCTTTCTTCTTCCTTTTACTTTGTTTCTTGCTGTTAATTTAGGGTTTGGGGTCGTTTTTAATATGTTAATTTCAAATAATTTTTTTTTTGTGTTATGAGACTGAGGATTGTTTTTCTTTACAGCAGAAATGAGAAACAGTTAGCAACGCTAGCAATAGTGACATTGGCTGCTGGAGCATTGAGTCTCGGCTCGGTGGGCGACGCTTCCGCCGCCAAAACCGGCGGTCGAGTCGGCGGTCAAGCGTTCCGTTCGTCGGTTCCTCGCTCAGCACCGAGAGCCAATAGCAATTCCAGGTAAATTCATCGGTTTGAGCTATTCAGTTATGTTGATTCTGTTTGATGCCACTGTGCATGCTTGATTTTATTGTCTTTTACATTATTGACCATGCTCAGACTAAAATTGATAGTCTAGGTACTAAATACGTAAATTACCCTTTACATTATTAACTATACTCGAATACATATTCGTATACGACACTCAAACCCGAATCCAATCGGCATTAGTTAGAAAGAGTGTGATTAAGTTGTGACAAAAAGAGTTACAGATATTAAGTTGTTTAAATATGCTTGTGAATGTTGGACACTTAAGCTAATGTTTGTTCACTTCAGGACCAACATTTACATTAATCCACCGGTTGCCCCACCTCTAGTCGGAGGCTATGGATATGGTTACGGTGTTCCGTTCTACGGTGGCTGGGGCTGGTCGCCGTTCTCCTTCTTTGCTCCTGGCCCAAGTGTTGCCGTCGGTGTCGGAGGCGGATTCGACACGCTCGTCTTCTTCTTGTTTCTGGGTGCTTTTGCAGCTGTTGTAAGGAGATTTTTCGGATCAAGAAATGAAGATGAAGATGAAGATGAATATTAGTAGAAATAACAAGACAAGAAACGTAGTTTGAACATGTAAAGTTCGAGTAACCGAAAATTAAAACAACGTTGTTTTGATCTTTAATTGAATAATTTAATTATTTACCTATAAGCTTATTTCTAATTGAACTTAAATTACATGCTCCTTCTACTTTAGAATATTTTATTCAATTTAATCCTTTGAAAATTTTGCAAATTCTATTTTCCCTCGTTTTTATAATTCCTTTATACTTTCGTTGATACTTACTCTTCAAAATCAATTCCTTTAAAAATAATTTTATAATGGTAAAGTACATAAATAGTTTCCAAACTTTTAGGACGTTTGTATTTTGATCATCTAACTTTTAAAACTTTCGGTATAATTACTGAACTTCTAACATCATGTCATGTTAGTTTTCATAATCATGTTATAGGCTACGTTACATGGAACTTTAATTTTCATTAAGAAAATCTCAGTTTAACATTTGCTTCATTATATCATTAAAGGTTATATTAAACTCATTTCTAATATTAGCAACTAATCTTCCTTTATATCGAACTCGTAATTCGGTAATCATGATTCGTGTGAACACTATTTCATTACAACATCCACATAAAACACTAACCGAATCATCTGTAATATCGCATCTGCATCTCTCTTCGTTGGTTAGAAACTTCTCCTTTGTCACAGTCCATAAGAATTGCCTGCATATTTGAGGCCACTTAGTCTCCATCTTCTCTTCCGGACCTTCACCTCCTCACTCCCATTTATTTCATGATAGCCGAGCGTAAGCAACAAATACTAAGAAAACCCCTTTGTCGAACCATTTTCAAGTTGGATTCCCCAACTTCGAAGCCTTTTGTCCCTTTTATGTTGGTCTGCATTCGTGTCCTGTTGTTCATCAGAAGCTTTGTCAACCCAAAATCGAATATTTTCGCGGTGGGTGACTCATCCGATAGTATATTTTGTGGCTTTATGTCACGAGGGATGATCTGTTTACTGCATTCTTCCTACAAGCACGTTAGTCCCCTTCCTTTAAGAAGAAGAGTTAACGGAAGGGAACGTGCCACGCCAGATAAAATTAATGGGAGGTAACATCAGGAACCTTTTTTAAAATAAACTAAAAGTTCAATGATTGTATTGTAAGTTTTAAAAAGTCTAGTGACCAAAATGCAAACATCTTAAAAGTTTGGGGACTTTTTATGTACTTTACTCATTTTATAAATGTATCATAAAGTTTTAAATGATACTTAATTTATTAAATAATATTACAAATTATACTTATACGCGTGAAAAATAATATATATATATATAATATGATTTTTTGAGTCGTTTAAATTATAATAAATTAGTATTATAATATTATAAATAATTATATTTAAATATAAACACTTGAAAAAATATACTCAATTTAATTTAAATTTTATAAATTTGACTCGACTCTAAAAACACTTAATAAAATTCAAGTAATAAAATAATAACTATAAATTCGATTAACTCAAATATTTTTTACTTGACTCGATCAATTTCTCATCCTATAGACAATGACCTTGACTTCCATAAATGGTTATTTTGTGCTTTGGGTCCTTTTAAGTTTATAAAATTTCAAAACAATAATGATTTTGTATTTTGGCCTGTCATAATAATGACAATTATAAAACAGTTATTGGTAATCATGGATGAGAATTCAGAGGAAACTTACCTATATTATTTATTAAAAATATAACATAAATAAATAATAAATTATAAAAAATAATATGAATATAAAAATATAATTAATTATTTTATAAAAATAATACTACATATCAGCTTGTATTGTGTTTGTGTGTCTACCTGAGAACAAGGCAATCAGAATTTAAGATTGCTGTCTGCTTGATCCCTCCTTAATACTTTACACGTACTTGTGTAGTTGTGTCCATGTGCTCCTCCTTATTTTAATTACTTCTAAATCCATTAATTTAAGGTACAGTATAAAAATTATAAAATAATCCTCCGATTATAGGAAATTATTTTGTTGAGTCCCTATGCATTATGTTTCAAACTAATTATTTTCCATTAAAAAAATTAAATTCTTTTCCATTAAAAAATTAACAGTCATCAGAGTTAGATATTAACATGCTGAATAATATATGATAGCCGTGTGAGATTATGAGATTAGATTTTATCATATCTCAAACAATAGGTTAACGTACAACTCAGACAATCGTCAAATTTTTAACGAAAAAAGAAAAGTTTGGAATATAATGAATAGTTGGGTGACCATTTTGTTACTTTTAATAATCAAGGGACTGAACAAAACAACTCCCTATAGTCGAAGGACCATTTTATAACTTTTAATAGTTATAGGATTTAATAAAAAATATCATACAATTAAATGACCATTTATGTACTTTACCTTTAATTTAATTCCAACAACTAATTATTTTACACATTTAATAAACCTCATTTCTTATATGTGATGTGTGCCATTCATACTTCTTCTTTTCCGCTTTGTCGATTGTATTAATACTAATGTTAGTTGTCGATCATCGATATTTTTTATTATCTTTTTATTTTTATATATTATATTTTATTTTTCTCTTATTTTTAATTTTCAGTGAATTTGCCTTTATGCCACATTTTTATATATTTTTATGACATATTTTCTCTGTTTTTAGTACGTTTTCGGTCGTTTGACCATTGTTTTTTATTTATCTTTTTTAAAGATTAATTCGACATCGCCACAACTGATCAAAATAGATGACACTTATCTGTTATAATGCTGATCTTCCCTAATTTGGATATTTGATTCGCGTTCGTAGATAGTTTTTTACGTCGTTCAACTCTGATTTGTGGTTTTATCGGTGATCTTTCAATAGCTTGATCTCCTTTTGTGTTTCGTTTACCGATCAAATCAAATATATTGTATCTAACCTTATTTGAGTTTTGGTAAGGTTTTTTAATCTTTCATTGTATAATACTTATGCGATCTTAGTTGCTAGTTTTGTGTCGATGTTTTAGGTTAGTCTTTTTTTTTCTTTATCTTTGTAATTGACGGTGGCATCAGTCTTGTTGTTGATCGCCAACCGTCGATATTCATTATTTTCCTTTGCTTTATAGTTTTATTGAATTTTTTATTTTTAATAACTTTAACTTTATGACACATTTTTTTTGGCTTTAGTCACACTTTTCTTTGTCTTTATGACACGTTTACGGTAGTTTGGTTGTTATTTTCGTTTATCATTTTTTTAATGTTGGATTTGACAATTGACATCGCCACGGCTGATCAAGATAATGATTCATGTGTTATCATGTTGATCTTCTCTGCTTTGAACTCATATTGAATTTAGATACGCGATTTGTTTCCGTGGATAATATTTTCACGTAGCTTAATCCTTATTTGTGATTTGTGTGTGACCTTTTAATAGCTTCATCCCCTTTTATGGTTCATTTTTCGATGCGGTCAAATATATTCATATCTATCTTTTCTCCGAGTTTATTTGGTTAGGTTTTTTAATATTTTCCTTGTATGATCCTTGTGATCTCAAGTAATTAAATTTTTTTGGATAATTAAGATATTATTACTCAAAATAGCAAAGTTATGCTACAAACCAATCAACCAAACAAAATAAATCTGCACAGCCTATACAAAATCAGTGCACAACCTATACAAAAACAATGATTGGTAAAACTATAAACCCCAAGCATTACAAAGGAAAAGATTAGTGCTATCTAGCCGATTGAAGCTTTTCCCCCTAAGATAGAATCGAACAGCATCAGAAATTTCAGTAAACAATTGTTCAACAGTTCTAGATCGAGCTTGGAAAATTCTTTGATTTCTTTCCTGCCATAAAAAATAGATGAAAGAAGACCACGCTATCTTCAAAATGCAGGTGATAAGTGATTTTCCTTTCCATGATGTGCTTGCTCTGTCAACCATTTCATCTCATGACAAATTTGAAGAGTTTAATCCACTATGGTTCAAAACTGAATTCCATAAGCAGACAACAAGTGAACACTCATAAAATAAGTGGTTCCGGGTCTCTTGAGAGTTTCTGCAGTTAACACATAAAGAATCTGTGTTAATTCCCATATTTTGCAGACGGTCTCTGGTAGGCAATCTATTGTGAAGAGCCATCCAAACGATTAAACTATGCTTCGGAATATGCATCGGGAACCAAATAAGTTTATGCCAAGGGACTTTCTGCCCTTTTGTTCTAATCTCATCCCAAATTTCCTTCACCTTGAACGTATCAGAAATAAGAGGCATTGCTTCTGTTCTCATTTTAATGATTCTTCTGTCCTCAGTAATTAGTTTCATCGTGTTTAAAAAAAAAACATATTTCTTATGTATTTAGTTTACAGTTGTGTCGTAAGCCTTTATCGTAATTCGAATATCCTCTATTTTTCTATAAAATAAACGGCTTCTATAAAATACGAGAAACCCACCAATAAATGAAGCAGAACAACGTGGGATGAGAAGATATTGCTGTTAAAGTGATGGGATGGGATCGCAACAAACAATATAAGATTTGTTTTATTTTATTATGTTTTTGGTTTTGTCGTGAGATTAAAATAATAAAAAGTCTTTATTTATTTATTATTCTGTATTTGATTGGTTAAGTAATAAGTCATACTCGGAATCTGATGCAATGAAGGGGAAGTGGACGTGAAACATGTTTTTAGCCTTTTTCTAACATTGATGCCTTGCAAGAATCTTTCCCTTCTTACCCTAACTTGCTTGTTTTATATATGCCATAAGAATAAACAAGATGCTATGAATAAGAGGGAGATTGTTCGATTTCAAGTCAAGTCGAATCGATATAAATTAGGGTTAACAGTCTGATAGCCTATTTTCGAGATAGATCATCTTAGTTTCATGTTATTTCATATTATCATTCTACCCAAGAGTCATCAAGGTTCAGAATATTCCGACTGTTGTTTGGTTTGACTCCTGTATTTCGGTCATTTAGAACGAGGCCGTTTTCTGGTTTAGTATGTTTGGATTGTCGAGATTTTATGATCGAATCAAATCGTGTCGGATCCAAATTCGATTAAATCGTATTGAATTTAGTTCGAGTTAACGATGTCGTTGATTAATTTAAAACCGAATTGAAAATAATAAAAAATAGCTAAGATAAGAACATTTT